GTTTTGTGGACACTTATCCCCCAGGATTCAGGTGAAGACTCAACTCCTTCTACACGTCACTAAAAACTTTATGATGGGAAAGGCTTTAGTCATTATGGAGCTTCACTAGCTACAAACATCCACGATACTCATAAAATATTCCATAACCCTTTATCAATTCTCTAAAGAATTAACATCCCTGCATGTTGATGACTAACAGAGCCCAAAGAGAGAAGTGTCTGAATATTTCCACATCACTGCATTTAAATGAAGTTATCTTTCTATAGACTCATTTCCAGTTCCCCTTTTCCATCCCATTCATCAGGGTGAAAAGATATAGAACAAGAGTTGCTTTAATGTGTCATTCACACCCGACCCGGGCAAAATAAATTTGATTAAAATACTGTAATTGATATTTATGAATTTTGCTTATAATCCTCTTGCTTAGTAGGTAAGTATGGCGTTTGTGACACATTTATTGAAAGTTTACTGCCTCTGTCAGAAGATACAGAATGGATTTAAGGTCAATGGAGAATAACCATATTCAGTTTGGAAATAAATCATCATGAGAACATAGGACTCAACAAAAATGTGAAAGTAGGGAGAGAAAAATCCCAATAATATAATGCAGTAGGTCTACATAGTGTGTCAGAGGGAGTCATCATGAGTTAATTAATAAGTGCTCTCTCCATTAATTAGCATGGACAGGTATCCACACTGCAAGAAATTCCATTAAATAGGCTTAGGTAACAAGCTATCTGTAGGCAAAAGATGGGAGATGAAAGTAAACTTTCCTCTTACCCACAAAGAAGGTCCCTTCAGCTTAGAAGTCTGAGGAACACTGGCAGGGACAGCTGGGAAGTTTGCATTGCCATTGCTTATGCTATCTCTCCCTTGTAAAATAAAAGGACTTCAGTCTCTTGGGCAGTCAAGCTGGCAGCTTTCCTGAACACTAAATTCACTAATAAATAATATAAATTACTAAGTAAGTGCTGTATCAAAACTGATCAGAGTAAACAGCTTTCTGAGTTAAGGGCAGGATTTTCAAAAGTACTCAGCACTTGTGTAACTGGTTTAATTCTGCTATCAATTATAAAGTTAATTTCATGATAAAGATAGGGGGAGGGGAAACTGGACAAAATCTCATTTGCCCCAAATCAAATAAGTAGCCGGTGAGAGCTGGAATCTGAACTAGATTGAATTCAGTTTCTGTTCAGGGTATGTGTAACTTTCTAAAGTACTATTTCTTGTACACCCCATCTCCAAGAGGTTAATACAATAGCTAGTGGGGGACGTTGGTTGGTTTAGTTTGACTACTTATTTGCTTAACTTAATTCAAAGGCACATGAAGTGCCAGACAGACATCTTTCTGTATATTTTAAAGGACTCAAAATAGAATCTTTGGCCCTATGCAAATTTAAAATTCACAAGTTTCTTTAAAAAGACAAAGGCTTCTCTATTTCCCTCTGCCTCCAATCTGGTTTGTGGTTACACCTATGTATCTGAGCATATGCTAACCTGATTTGTTCCTTTAACTGCACTTTATCCCAACATTACTTCCCCAATTGAACTGTTAGAATGCACTATACCCATTATTTACAATTTACACTAATTACACTTGCTTTAAAAAGGAACAAATTTGTTGCAACTTGTAAATACCCATTTTGATCTGGAAGAGTATATAGATTCTGAATAGTTTAACAGTAAATATTTAGGATTCTATATACAAAGCTTTCAAATGATGCTGATCTGATGCATTTTTGAGGAAATATTTGCCCTACAAATATTTTTAAATATAGTATTTGAATACAGTTTATTCAGTAACCCCTGAACAATACCTCAGCAACTGAAAATTTCAAATATTGTTTGGTTACATCTAATTTGCATTAGATACTGAGGTATCCTTTGATACATTGTCACTAACTTATTCCTACTGCCAGTGAACACCAATGTCCATTCTCCCACTGATACACAAAGACAATAAAACAAATTTTTGTTGTAGCATAAATGTTAACGGGCAAATATATTCTAGGTAATCCACACAATATCTGGCAATTTAAGTTAGTCACATCATGTGACAAGGAAACCAGATTGAAAAAGAAGTCATGTATATCCAATAAAGAATTAGAAAAATAGCAGAGAAGAGATACTGTAGATTTGGTTTAAGGTTTAAAAAAACAGAAGCCACACGAATCGAACAGAAGATTAAAAAAGCAGCTAGGTAATTATAAAATCAAGTGTCTCCTTAGCAAGTGGCTTAATGTTCATTGCCACCAGCTGACAGACTGCTTTGTACAAGTACAGAAAATGTAATTGTTTCACGGAAATTAGGTTGTGATTTTGGCTGACCTCATCCTATTTCCTGTAATATTTATATGCTGAGGCACTTACCAGCTTTATGAAAATCCAGACATTTTAATATGTAAAGGAAGTTGATTTCCTTATTGTAAGTATTTCCTCCTAATATTGCTATGTATCTGATGAAAACGAAAAGCTTCTGAGTGACGTGTACAGCTATTTAAGATCGGACTTAGTACTGAGTTTATAACCAGCCAGGGCTAGCTCTAGGCACCAGCAAACGAAGCACGGTTCTAAGGGCGACATTCTGGTATTTACTTTACTAGTTCACCAAAGTATATCATGTAAAGTTTCTAATGAAAGTTAGTGTCATAAGAGTCCTCAATGATTATAAAATGCATACATGGATAGTATGTAAGGAGTTATGCATATATTATACTCAAAATTATGTTCTTAGGTTCTCTGATTTGGGGCTGGTCACCAGTAAAGGTGAGAGACGGGTTTACGTTTATCCATTTGTCTACACATAAATTGAGTAATGTAAGGTTCACAATGGACAACCCATTTACAGTCCAAGCAGAATGCTAATCAAGTGATTGCAAAGTTTCCCGAGGAGAAAAAAGTACATGCAATGAAGGTTATTCTGTCTGCAAGTGCAGACAATGAACTAACTTTAGGGACAGGAAAAAAAAAAAAAAAAAAAGCTTCTGCATCTTTCCACTGAGAAAGCATGACAATGGCTGTAATACCGTGGAAAGATTTTAGGTGAGCTTTTGCTCTGTCTAATGATAATATCTTTTTAGTTAAGTTTAGCCTCTATTATGCATGTTATGATTTTATTTTATATCTAACCCTTGGCTTTCAATATTTCTGCATGCTATCATTTGACTCTGCTCTTGCTTTCTCTACAAACAAACCTAAGTGCTGTGTGTTAAGTGGAGCTGTCTTCTATGGTATAACTGGTAAGCTGTGATGTACTGTTCCTTTCGATCTGGGAATTCTGCGAGTGTCCAGTGGATCGGGGCTGGGCAATCCAGGCAGACACCTGGAGGACTTGGGGGTTGGACTGTGCCTATCATTAACTTGCAAAGAAAGAGCAAGGCCTGGAAGGCAGTTCTTGTATTGCCAGAGGATGGCAGCGCTGGGAAACTGATCCACAGCAGGCACAGACAAGGCATCTTCTTGCTATGGGCGGGCAGTAGCAAGGTTCCTCACAACCCTGGGTAACCCCAGGAAGCATACTACCCCTCTCTCCCCCCCCCAAACATTTCCATCAATAATAACTGAAATTTACAGATAGAGAAAGACATTGCTTGAGAACTTAAAGTTTGAATTAAGGATATTTCGTTTGAATATTTTGACACGTGATGTTGACAATTTGTTTTAACAGCTATGAAGCTTTATCTCATTGAATAATTACTGTTCAACCTCCACATTGTCTCCCCTCCCTCCCACCACATGATTTCCCACAACTATGAATATTTATATCTATAAAAAGTGAAAAGCTCAAAATTTAAAAAATTTGAATTCTGTCATGCCTATGTATAGCATACACAAGGAAGGATAAGTTGTTTGTGTGACCTAGTGACTAGAGCACTGGACTGAGACTCAGGAGACCTGGGATCTATTTCCAGCTCTGCCACTGGTTTGCAGGGTGACTTCCGCAAATCACTTCCACTCTCTGTACCTCAGTTCCCCATCTATAAAGTGCTTGGAGATCTACCAATGGAAAGCACTGTATGAGAGCTAAGTAAACTGTAGAAACAAATGCAGTCTAATCCAGCATGCTGAACCAAAAAATTGCACTAGTGCACTGCAATCTGAATTATGTAACAGTCAACTCAGCTTTACAATGAAACATGATTTAAGTGAATTCAAGGGTTCAACAAATACCACCAGTTAATTAACAGAGATGATCTTCTAACACATGGGTACGTGATGAGCCTCATGACCAGACTGGGATGATAGGGTCTCCCAAGCTTTTCTCTGTTGCAGCAAGAACTACTGTTCCAACATACTTGAGCGGTTGGTTGGTTGTTTTTAAAATCACTTGGTGCAGTTTCTTAACAAATGAGGCTGCCTAATAAAGGGGCTCTCTCATACAAATTTATTAAAAATTATACGTGTTCCTAGAACATGTAACATGGTTACCGAAATACCAAACAGCATCAGTTTAGCCAGGGTTACCAAGTTGTGATGTGAAGAACTCAAATTATTAAGATTAGTCAGAACACTGAATAATGGTGAACAGTATTTGAAGAATGAATCAAAATATTGGTATTCATTGTGGAGAAAAGAGTTAGCTTGCCACCAGGAAGACAGGGGAAGGCTATAAACACATAGGATATGTACAGAATGGAAGCAAGGCATCTCTCCATGGGAAAATGGTGGTCCAGTGGGACATATTCCCAGTACTATATAGATTCTGTTCAGATTCACCCAAATACAAATTAACTTCACATGTGCACTTGCCCATTTTGCCAATGCAAATCTAAGACTTGGTAATCTAGTACTAAGCAGCAACGATTGGCATAGTAAGAGAAGGAGAAGTTCACTTTTATTGGGTGGTCAACTCTGCAAAATTTGAGCTACCAGTAACTATGCAAAGTCTATCTGGAACCTTTCAACTTTTTACACAGTATTAAAATGGCAATTTTGGACAACAGCACATCTAGAGATTCTTTAGAAAACTTTATAGTAGATATGCAAGTTAAAATTCTCACCATCAAAATAGTTTCTGGTCTGCTGGGAGGTAGACTGCAACACACTTTCAGCATATTTGATCGACAGATTCTGGTCACTGAAAAATAAAACAGACCTTGTAGTTTAAAATTTAAATATTAGTGCACGATTACAGTTGCCCGTATATGTAAGTGTACACACAAAGAATTAAATGTTTTATAGTATAACATTCATTTGGCTTTACAAACACTAATTTAGGTCCTAATCCTCCCTCTCCTTACAAAATTTACAAGTCTTTCTGTTTAAGCCGTATACTCTACAGGTGAACAGAATATATATTAGTTAGTTCTCAAAGTTATCAGTGGTTGAAAAATGATGTGCTAGATGTGAAAGGTGATTGACATCAACAACTTACATTATTTGGGGGGGAAAATTGCTTAAAATTTGTCCTTAATCAAGGCCAGGGAGAAGGCAGGATATAGTTTTGAAAGTTTCCCCTGAAATGATAAATATTCTAAAGCATAAATGGGAATTAAGTGCCCAACTCCCATTTTGCCTTTAAAAAAAATCTTCCTCTCAGGTTACCAGAGTGAGAAAAAGCACACTTTTTAAAGAAAGGATAAGCTCTCAACTCCAAATATTTCCAAATGGGCACATGCAAAAAAAGTGCTCTTAAATATTTTACTTTTCAATTCCTCCTCTCCAGAAATTTTTTTTTAAAATATTATAAACAAACATACATAGACAAGCACCCAGAGACACAAAATTTTATGTTGTTGCCATTTTCTTCAAAGTTTAATTTTACCATGCAGTTAGAACCTTCCTTATGCACTAAAAACTTAAGTTTAATAGCTTCAAGGCAGAAAAACATTACCAAGTCAAAGTTAGATTGTCTGAAACAGGCAAATTGGTCAAATACAATCAAATGTGGTGTTACAGAGCCAGAATTACATTCCCATCCCCTGCCCCTGTATAAGCCTTAATGGAAAAATAGCACTTCATTTTGATTTGTGCATCCTGAAAGATTCAATAATAATACATACTACTGATTCAGCTTCAAAAGATGTATCTTGTAGAAGTACGTGAACATCCAGCTACAAAGAGTAGAAGAGTTACTCTTCATCCCTCTCCCCCACCATTGTCAATTGCTCAGACTGATAATCTAAAAACTCTTTTCAGCGCTGTACCACCTATAGAAGGAAAAAACAGCTCTGCCCCAAAGGACTTTTAACCAATATAAGGGAAAATAATGGATCAGACAGAATCTGTGGACCAGATAACATCAAACCTCAAAGCAATTAAACTGAAAGTTGGCTTAATTTTTGTTTACATATTAGCACCTTGTGACGTTGTGCAGTCTATATGGTTTTATAAAAAACCTTGATAATTCAATATAATG